CACTTTGCATTTAAAGAAATAAAGTTTCTCCTGATAAACTGAACGTTTCCTCTTGTGGGGAGGAGCGATGCTGTTTGTCATTTATCAGATGTGTAACTGCAGTTTGCTACAAAAGCCCAAAAATATCTGAATATAACAGCACGATAATAACATCTTTACACCAGTGTGAACTAATCACTACATGTTAATAAAGTAATCAGTGACGGTTTAGCTGCTGCGAGTGGGAATCTGTGTGTGTGTGTGTGTGTGTGTGTGTGTGTGCGCGCGCATGTGTGTGTGGTGTGTTTAGACAGAGTGTGATAACAGTCAGAGCCGTGTCTTATGCTAAGACAAACATTGCCAAATATGGTCTTCTTTCTCTTTCCCTCAGCTCCCTAAATCACACACAGGAAGCCCCCCTCTCCATCTATCACATCCTAACTCCAGTGCCCCCCCCCCTCTCCATCTATCACATCCTTACTCCAGTGCCCCCCCCCCTCTCACACTGACAGGTGACACCTATGTTTGTGGGATTCATCTTCTTTCAAATAAAAGCTCCAGCACAGCCTCATGGATCCAATAAAAAGGTAAACAAAGTCACACAGTCTGCAACAGCAGCAGGAGCATGAAAGCAGCTTAAATCATCATCACTACCAAAGATGGTCATGAGCATGTGAGCAGGCCGACTGGATCCTGATCAGCTGACTGCTCCCGTTAACAGTGTGGCCTCTAATTATGGAAGAATCAGGGAAAAGCAAACATGTGAAGGAGTCGTCGTTTCTTCAGCCTCTCAGGCTCCGAACACTGAACGAGAAGAAACAACAAAACCACCAAATATCAGCTGAAAACATCGTCGGACGTTCAACACTGTAAATATCTACAAGTATTTAATCTCAACGTTTGTGTGGGATCTGCAGGCTGAGTTAAATGATCCCACTGACTTTGAAATTCCTGTTTTGTGTGCAGGCAGGAGAAGACGTGACAGCAGCCGATGCAGCGCCACGGACACTGAGGCGTCCACGCTGCCACTCGAGGAGCTGAGAACGCTTTTTACAGATCAGGATCAAAAGACTTCAAGTGTGACGTTTGTGTGACGTTTGTGTGACGACGAATGAAGAGTGAAAGTATGAAAAGTACAAAGTGTTGCCTCACAAAGCGTCTGATAATTATGGGATGTATTGCTGCTGCAAACGGGTAACAAATGCAGAAAAGCATCAAAACTCTGTGTGACTCTGTCTTCCCACTTTGACCTTACAAGGCACACAGACCCACTCCCACACCCCCAGCATCACGAACCCCCTCGCCTTCCATGTGAAGATTGTCCTGGGAATCGCTGCTCTTTGGTCCCACAGGGAACTCGTGTGAGAGTCTGAGTGTGGACGGGGGGGTTATGTGAATGTCCTCCTAATGCTACCCTTAAGAATTTTGACTCCTTGGAAAATAAATACAGCATTTCCTCCCTCTCTCTCTCTCTCTCTCTGCCTGTTCCACTTTCTCACGTCCATCACGGACCTCACAGTCACAGCAGCAGCTCTCATGGTCTCAGCGCGCCCACCGTGCTGCTGCTGCGACTGGGCCTTACAAAGAAAACCAAACTGGTTTCCAGTCAACCGAAGTTAGTCAGTAACCTGCAATGAATAAAGTCCGTCTGCAGCTGTCAGTGTGCAGATGAAGGCTCTCCTCTGTTACAGCCCAACACTCATAAACACTCAGAGAATTCATTAAGAAGCCACGATGGAGGCTCATGAAAGAACAAAGTAACTGTGAGTGAAAGTAGAGCTTCATTAAACACATCAATTTTATCAAATGGATTTAATGAAACGTGTTGTTCCCGTTTTAACTTCTCCATAAACTTTATTAACTGGGAATATATGGGGAATGCTCTTACCCAGGCTGTTGCTTCCACATATTCTCCTTCTCCATCTTTTCTCATTCACCATAAAGCAGTGTCCTGAGGAAAAAGGCAGAAATTAAGTTCTTTGCATTCATGAGTATTTTGTTCCTGTGACCTTTTCTTTCATCAAACTGCTTTATGCAACTACGCTTTCACCAGGATCACGAGCTTCAATCAATCAGTGATCACATCGATTAAGGTTAGAGACACCTGGCCTGTGAAAGCAAACCATCAGTGTGCACAGTCACATGTTACACAGATTAGAGGTTCCTGCTCGGTGAACAATCGCCTCAGCTTGTGTCTAATAAAAGTGGAGGAGCTTTGATTCACATGTAGAAACAGAAACGTGCAGGTTATTGTTACTGTGACGACACAGAGCTGCTGCAACACAATCATGTTGGTATAAATGCAACAGTGTAACAAATAACTTCCTAAAGAAACAGCGTAACAGAAGAGTTTCAGGTGCATCGTTACAGGATTACAGGCAGTTAAATATCGCTGTGACATCAACATGCTCCAGACCACAGTGACTCTGAGACATCGCCAACATCATACCTGACTCTCTGCTGCAGGTTGGCGAGCTGCGGCGCCGCTGGGCTGATGAGACGACTCCACAGCTTTTCATCTTCACTCGGTTGCTTCGTGTTGCCTGGTGAAATGAATTAACTGCCCTTTACTTCGGTTGTGTCTGAGAAGACTCTTGTTTGGTAGCTGCTGCTGATGAGATCACAAACGTATCTGGCTTCCTTTAAAACTCCCTAAAGTTCAGGTTTTTCCACATTAAGTGGGAGCTCGTGGCACGATTGCTCATCAGAGTGGGTCGCCCTCTCCTCCCGGCGTCTCGCTCTTATGAAGCTGAGACATTCCACTGTTACCTTGTATGGTTGTAAGAGGATGGGCCGTACACCAGGAAATGCCCCCTTAAGATATTACTGATTGGATAATATTAGAGGAAGCAAGGATCCTCAGCTGGGACCTGAGATGGAGAGACAGAAGAGAGTGAGAAACAAAGGAGTGGAGGAAGTGTTGAAAGAGGTGTGACAGGAGCAGGAAGCTGAGAAACCAGAGCAACTGGAAGAGAGAAGGGGAGGTGCAGCCAAAGGGAGGCGGGAAAACTGGGAAGCGTAAAAGGAAAAGCAGGAAGAAAGAAAGTGAGATTAAAAGCTGGCGTGTTGGAGTTCATCTCCTCACTGCTGCAGCTCAGGAGGCTGAGACAGGCTGACTGCACCTCCCCCAGCTACAACCACGTCTCTGGAAAATCACAGTGACTGTAGTTTACCTTCAAGCAGTTTTACAAACGTATCAGCTGTTTGGGAATCTTTGGACAATTAACTGACAGTTTTTTATTTTTATAAAGCACCAAACACCAGTCGTTCCTAAGCTCTTTAGTTTGGAAGGTGAAGACGAGGAAGCACGTTGGTGGGGAGCTGTCAGGCTGAAGCAGACCACATCACAGGTCCAGATGTGTGTGGATCAAACTGGATTTATTCATGTGAAGTTTGAGGTTCTTAAAAAGACCGTGAGCACATCAGACCTGAACAAACAGCTGCTGAACAAACTAATCCAAACGTTTCTCCACAAAAATGTGCACAGTGTCTGTGTGGGCTGGAGCAGCACATCATGTAACTGTGATGATCTGATTAATAATAAATAATTATTGATATTCAGGGAATAATTATCCAAACTGAGCAGATTTCTGCTGATCTTGAAGAGCTGAGAGAAGAAGACAAACCTCAGACTTTCCTGCCTCCTCTGCTTTTGTCTTAATAAGGTAATGTTTAAAAACGGGGCAGCTGACAAGACGAGACACACACACACACACACACACACACACAGACACACAGACACACACACAGTGGGGGATGAACTGAATAATTCTTTGACTTTCAGTGTTTCACGATCTGTAAGTTTCTTCATCATCGTCTTCAATCATGGAGGCAACAGGAAGTCTCACGTTTTAAACTTCATAGAAAAACGTTTATGCTTAAGAACAAAGACGTTTTCTAATCTTCTGTCCTCGTGTGGTCTTTTTTTTTTGCCTGTCCCGTTTGGCTCTTTTGCATCAGAATTATTGTCTAACGGTGAAGAAAGATGCCGGATTTACTTTACCAAATGGACCCTCCCAGCCTTGCCGTATTGGTCTATTTGATTCACCTTTTATTGTTTATTTTATTTATTTTCACTTGTTAGATACGGGACAGACTTGACTGGGGAAAGAAAGAGTTGGAAAAAACAGCGGGGAAGAGGGACGGGGATAAAGGGCAAAAAACCCCAAAAACCAACAAAATAAACAGACAAAAAATACAAACATCAATCA